TTTCAGGGGAGACCACGAGCCAGATGGCAAAGTTAATGGAAGCAGACACCCCCAGCGCTTTCAAAGAAGTCACTCCTTCAGTGCCCCACATCGCTGGCGATATCGCGGTGGACGCCGGACGGCATGGCTCTTGTGAAGCCTAACAATCTATAGAGCCGCTGGCGTGCCTTGTAATTGCATACTCGATACTACCAGTAAATCTCTGATTTGCTGGGAGTTGATGATGGGTGAGCGTTCAACTAAAGACCTGGCACTCAGGGCAGCAAACTGTCGCCCTGCAGCACTGAGGCAGTGGCATGTTTTGGTGTCGGCTCCGCCGAGCCTCGGGACGCGTGTGCAGTCGTAGACGCTCTGGTGCCGACTGCCGAGCCTCCCCCCCCCCCCTCTGACGCCGCCGTTCGGCGATTCCCAAGACCGCGGTGCGGGGAGAATATGAGCGACGCAAATCGTATTGTGGGATGCAGCGGGGTGCTTCCTACAGGGTGTCCCAGAATTACCCGGACATTTATTTTCTGGCTAAAAGTACGATTGCGCTCGATTCTAATGATATACAAGCATCATACTTTTATAAGATATCCCTTAGCTATCGAGCTTGGGGACTGTGTGCTTTTGGTGACCGGTAACGACTCGAGTCAAGTATTATCCAGAGTCAAGTAAGAGTAGTCCTTTTCCGTTTTCAGCTTAAGCCACTAATAGGCAACCATGGTGAATCAACTCCCGTTTTCAACTTTGTAAACGGACTTTCGGCATGGTTTTTGCTGGAGAGCTTCAGCAGCTCATCTGCAAGCAGTTAGGATTGAGCAAAGCGCAATTATATCAGCTAACGAAGCCAGAGAGAGCAAGAGATAAACCTGATTGACAAGCTTGGGCTCGGCCAAAAAGGGCCATGAATCAGTTGTCAAACGGGTGGTTGCTTGTCATGGACAACAAACGTCACTGATCCAGCTAAAAACTAGTTAAACGATAGATCAGGATTATCTAAAGAACATCAGTCTACTTTCCACCACTATCTTCGCAAAATTTTGGAATTTGGGGTCCCTCACCCGAAAAATATGCGAAAACTACGGGAAAAGCAGCGAAAATCACTACAATTCATCCCAAAAATATAACATATACAACAAAAAATTATATTGAAGCACACTTTGTGGTCTAACGAAGGTATTCTGTCATTTGAACCGCCCGAAAAAGGCGTGTGTGAACGTCAGATGGCTACAACGCCCCAACAGCAGAGACGGCCAGGCACCCGTCGAAAATCAAATTGTGAGACATTTTGAGCCACCGTGCACTCATTCGGCTTGATATGATGGCCCAACGACAGCCGTTAGCACAGAGTACTACTGCGGTAATATTCTACCAGTAAAAAAACTGGATGCCGTAAACCAAATGGCCATGAACGGGTTTGTTTTGGAAACCAAATCTGTTGGAAGCCAAAGGTCCCGCCATGTTCAGACATGGAGCTTCTCCACTTCAGATGTAAAAAACGCGGCAAAAGTGGTGTAGGCAGCAATTTTTGTTTTGGGGGATAATGCCTTATGACCTGGGAACACTTTGATGTTAAGTTTATCTTATATGATCGTATTATCCTCCGGCAACAGGTCAAAGAAAACAGGCCTTCACCCAGTTTCGGGAGAGCCGTAAAACAACTGAGACCAGCAATGGCTGGCATTTTCAATCATTATCGGCTGATCTTGTAACAAGCGTATCTATTGCATGTGCTATTTCACAGCCACCCTAGTTGACTACATAGGACGATAAAAAGAAAAAAGCGCAATCATGTTTGCCTTATTTTATACGCTAATTAACAATGTCCGGGTAATTCTGGGACACCCTGTACGTAGTTGGAGTGTTGGAGTTGGTAGCGTTTGATTCGTCTTCCACGCATAAGTGACTTGGTCGCTTTTGTCATTGGTTTGTTTGTCTAGATCCATTGGCTATCGTTTGTGTTACAAGCAATCATAGTCCGTTTTATTTTAAGTCAGACCCTTACTGTAAACGTCTCAGTTTGAGCACAGCACGAAACTTGTTCGGTGAATTACTTGGAAAACTGGGTTGCGTACATTGTATACCACGGATGATCAACTTAATCGAAATTGTTTTTAGATGACTCCCATTTCACCTACTCGCATTTCGTATTCGGTCATATTTTCAACCCCAGGCGATACTTGACTCGCCGGAAATTAGAACTGAACTCAGCAATAAAGTGCACGGCCTTTATCATTACGGTACTTCATCGAAGTTAAAAACATATTTGGAAAATATTATATCTTCAGTAAAGTGTGCGCTATCCAGTTTTCCCAGTCATTCTCTCAGAAAATCTCGTGCTGTGTTCAATAACAGTGATGGTCGAGCTGAAATAAAACGGACTATGCAAGTTCGCCCATCGTGTTTAATGCGTGTACGAGAATGGTCTTGTCGGCGGGTCGATGGGCTCCATGTAGGGGCCAGAGTTAGTATCTTGAAGTTGAACGCTTTGGAGCCTTTCATCGTCTTTCAGCGTATAGTTCATGATGTGCGCATGTTATTTCGTTTCAGTCATCGGTGCGAAAAGCGTTATATTACTAATAAAAAACACGAACATCTATTTCTGCGTTTTATGCCTATTTGTTCATTCATATTTTCATAGGCGGTCTTTTTAGAAATTTCAGCCTTTTCAGGATTTTATTCAGCCTTGTCGCCTCCTCGCGTGGCCCAGCTGCAGCCCTATATATACTGCGGCTACCGCAGCTGCCGCATCTCCAAATGGCTACGGCCGCCCACCCGGGTCAGGTGGTTTATCTGCTAAAGGAGTGCTAAAGGGGTGCTATTGCATGGTTTTATTGGGGTGCTATTGCCCTGCTATTCGTGTGCTATTTGGGTACTACCAAAGAATAGCACCCGAATAGTAGCAGGTTTAGTACTGTAAAGGTGCTGGTTTTTGGCACCGATCCATAGGGGAGTAGCCTGGATACTAAGTAGCACCCATAGGGTGCTTAAAATTAGAACCTTATTAGCATGCTGGTAGCATCTTTACCCTACTAAATGAATGCTAGCAAACTAGCACCTTTAGAGTGCTAGGTTGTTAGTAGCCGTTTAGCACCCTCTTAGAACCTCAAATTAGCAGCTTGTAGGTGCTTGTTTTTGGCACGAGATTTAGCACCTCAGGCATGCTAATCTTTTTCTACAGTGTACGGGCGAGGGTTAAGAAATGCATCTATCATGGTCATGAAGTAGTTACGAGAAATTGCTAAGATTCAGTTCAAGATTTTGGAAAATGCGGATCGATAATCAATAATCGAAGATAGCCATTTGATTGTTCATGGCATTGGCAGTCTAATGGCGTTTACGGCATGTCTGTATGTCTTTTCTGTGATTTTATATGATTTTTTGAACATATGCCGTTTTTGGTCGTTAACTCAGAAATCATGACGTCACTAAAACCTCGATATCTCAAAAAATTTCCGACCGATTTTTTTGAAACTTTGTCACAATACACTTCAATCAATTCCCTACAGGTACTCAAAAGTTGGCGCGCCTGCGGCGCGCCGTTTTTATGCTATGGCCCGGCGAAAAAAGTGGGGGCGTTTAACGCCCCCCCCCCCCCAGCAACTCGCGGGTTAACACTGGTTGCGGCGGGCGGCCGGCTCCCCTCCTTAGTGAAGATATCCGCACCGCTAGATGGCAGCCCGCTCCGCGGGTACACCGATAACAATGGGAAGCGGGCAGGGGCGGCGGATTCGGGGGGCAGGGGGGGGGGGGGCAGCTGCCCTCCCCTGGCAAACTCGTGGGGGGGGGGGCAAAAGTATCTTTTTGCCCCCCCCCCCCATAATTTGTGACAAAGCTTAGACAAGAAACCATATACCTGATTATTCTGTTCGATCATCTGAAAATGTAACCAGATGCCCATATACTTTATCATACGTTGCCTTTCTTAAATGGCAAGCGTTCACGTTCAATTGAAGTTTTCCGCTCTTCAACCTAGTTTTGGAGGCATTACACTATGCAACAAAAAATGAAAAATTTTTATGTTCCTGGAAAGCGACCGAATTTTTCTTATTCATTGGGTCCTGTTACGGCGAACGACGACGAACCGGAGGACCAAACGTTAGACGAAACGGTTAACGACTGATAGGTATTTATATTATGCTGGAAATCATTGAGATAGATGACTAAAGGAACTGACGCATGAAGCGAGCAGGAAACGACGAGACGAGAATGAATGTGAATGAGTGACAGATGAATGATATAAAACGAGCAAGGCGAGTCGATCACTTAATTCAAGTACGAAATACGAAAAACACGTAACGAATATTTTCGAAGCACACAAGTTCACAAACTCGTTTTCCAAAAATACACAAAAATACATCAAATTTCATAATCTCGTGATAATGTCACACGCGCGACGTAACAAGGTGATCCGCTGCGCGGCGGCAACACCCTCCCCCCTGAATGTGAGCACGCGCGTAAAGGCATCGTCGGGTGGGTCCCACCACGCAGCTACACTTCGCAGTCTCACTGATTGTCATAGACGGTCTGCTCGAGAAGGCATACCTTGGACGCCGGCCTCTGTAACAGCCTCTCTCGGCAGCGCAGCTCTACCGATCGCACACGGCCGTCTGCGCCCAGGAAGACGCGCACCACATGCGCTAGGGGCCACAGGCCTCTTGGGACATTGTTCTCCACGAGCAGCACTAAAATCACCAGTCTGAAGGTTCCGCTGCTCTTGCTGCCACTTCTTACGCTGAGTAAGGCACGGCACATAGGGGAGAGTGGGGCACATTCGTGCACAAAATGCGGGATAACTCCAAATTCCTGTTTTTTTTTTTTTTGGTTGGTGCAATGGTAAAATTGTTGATTGTAGCATGAAAATGAACCATTGCAGATATTTTTCTTTGTTGAAGGTTTTTCGCTAAGATCGTTTTTTATACCTCAAAATTGACTTTAATAACTCAAGACGGTTTGCACGAAACTGCCCCATGTATGGGGCAGATTCGTGCGAGGGGTGGGGCAGGTTCGTTCAGTATGGAGCATTTACGTTCAACCCGCAACGTTCCAGGAATTACCCAGAATTACCAGATATTTACCAAAAATATTGTCAGGGGGCAACCAATAAGCTTTTCACGAGAAATTTATCCACAATAATGATTGCCCAACACATGCAGAAAGAATGGGATGACCAAAAATAATGTATTCTGTCACTGGCAAAATAAAACAAAACTAACCAAAGTATGACAACACAGCACACTACCGCAGAACCGGAAGTGGGCCTTGTGGCCGACGGTGGGCTCCTGCGGGCGACAGATAATGTCCTCAAACGGGACCGCGAACTAGCAAAACAAAAACACTGGGAAAACAAAACAAAAACAACCAAAATATAACGGCACACTTCCCTGAGCTTTCTTAGCTTCCATGAGCCCTACCCTGCGCTCAACTATACAACTCACGAGATCACACTCAGCCAACTAGCCTACATTTCCTTCGTATCAACACTGCCGCAGATCCGAACGTGGGCCTTGCGGCCGGTGCCCTTGGTGGTTGGCTCCTGCAGGCGACAGATGATGTCCTCAAACGGGACCGCGAACACGTCTCCTTCGGCGCTTTTGAAAAGCGTCTTGGACGTATCGACGCTCTGATAGCCGTGCTTGATCGTCTCCCCGTCGTCCTCGTCTGTGTCGGCGGTGGCGGCCGCGACGTAGCGAAAGCTGGCCTTCTTGCGGGCGCCGCCGTGGATCGTCACCAAAAATCAATTACCTGCCCTGATATCACTGGCGTTCACCACCAGAGCGAACGACTTCAGGTCGGCGCATCGGGCCTCATCGATCGTGGTGAGATCAATGTCCTCGTTGTTGTCCTCGTGGCCTGAGCCGGTTGGGATGGGTGACGGTGTGAGAGTTTCTGTTGCTGGCGATCGGCGATGCCGCCGCCGACGTCTGGGGGAGTCGCTTCTTGGCATCGACTTTCCGCCGTTTCGTCTCCAGCTCCTCGACATTGTGCTTCTCTGGCGAAGACGTTATGATGCGAGAGTAGCCCTTCTTTCTGCCCGTCTTGCGCTCGGCCACCTGGAAGCGCGGAAGAGGCCGGATGGTCTCCAAGACAGACTGATCTTCCGCGTCGGCGGTTTCGTTACCGACCACTTGCGGAATGAAGACACTCTCGGCGGCGAATGACTCCTCGGGGAAGATGTTGGAGTCGAGCGGGAAGATTCCCGTGGCGCGGAAACCAGACAGAATGTTTGACGGCGTCATTCCGAGCTCGAATGGGCGTCGGAAGATTGCCGGCAGATCGTAGATGGAGGGACGCCGGCCGGGATGGCTGAGCATGTACTCTGTCATGGACGTCTGGTAGAAGCGCTTCACCGGCCCATACACGGAAACGTCGAGCGGCTGGAGGCGGTGAGAGCAGTGTGGCGGGAATGTTAGAATGACGACTCCCGCCTCCCGCGCCTCCATGATGAGCGCCAAGCTCATATGGCTCTCGTGATTGTCCATCAGGAGGAGCACAGGCCGCTCCTTCGACGGCTTGGCGTGCTTCACAAAGTGCTGGAAGGCAAGCAAGAACACCTCTGATGTCATCCATCCTTTGGGAGTTGCGTATCCATCAGAGCCGGCCGGGCCGCCATCCACGAACGAATCGCTATAGCGGACTCGGGGGAATACGAAGAAGGGTGGCATCGCGTTGCCCGTCGCGTTTACCGCGCAAGCCACGGTAACGAGGGTGCCGCGCTCGGCGGCCGTGATGGAGCCCACCTGCTTGGCGCCCTTCTGCGCTACCACCTTTTCCATCTCCGCTACCGTCGTGATACCCGTCTCGTCCAAGTTGTAGATGGACTCAGGCGGGAACTTGTTTTTCTCCATGACGGCGCGGAGGTTGTTGAAGAAGGCGTCCTTGCTTTTCCTGGTGAAGCCAATCGCCCGGTGCAGAGACGTTGCCTCCGGCTTACGGATGGACAGCTGGTTCCGGGCGAGGAATGACCGCAGCCATTCGACCCCGGCCTTCCTTTGTCTGCGCCAGTTTGCTGGGATGGGCTTCGCTTTGTGCAGGGCGAACTCGTATGCGAGCTCACGCGTTCTCTTCGCTGAGAGACCGTGGAGCATTTTGGTGCAGGTCGTCAGGTAGTTACTTAGTTCGGCCTCTTCCTCGGCACTGAATACTTGACGAGACACGTACGAGCGTGGCTTCATCGCCTTCAGCGCGTCACGCATCGTTTGTACGGGGAGGCCGACAGCGCGTGCGGCTGCGCGGATAGAGTAACCGTCCGCGATCAGCCAGCGAGCTCTCGCCACCATCTCGGGGGAAGTCACTCTCCGCGCGGTCTTCCGTGTATAGCGGCGGACCATTTTGTGTCTGTGAATATGGAGGCCGCCACTTCTGGCCACACCGGCCGCAATCATCCGCCCCAGCCCCCGGTCCAAGCAAGTCTGCCGGCCATCGGCCCGCATCCCCTGACCGCCGACTGCCGAGGTCACGTGACTCATACGTCACGACGCCGCAGGCACCGTGGCCGGCGGCACCGTCCGCCGAGACTGAACCAGGCGAGGGCGGCTTCATAAACTAAATTATTACAAATAGGCATGGAACGCAAAAACGAGAAAATAACATGCACGAATGTGCCCCACAGTGCATGCACGAACCTGCCCCACAGCGTTGTTTTTTATATATTGCAAAATTTATTGCTGATAGATGGCACTTTATTGAACGGAGAAGTTTGCAACAGTTCCGTGGATAGAGTGAGCTTCTTCACGGTGATTTTTGAAAAGCTGAGCCCTATCTACGACTCAGAATCACAAAAATAGATGCTTTGACAAAGGTTTGGAAAACGTTCGAAGAATGCAACTTTGCGATTTTATCAAATATAGTAGCGGGTCCAGCGTTGTCTTCTAAAGTGAACAGGGGGTGGCAATGCTAGGAATGTTTTTGTAATTTACCTTGAGCATGGACAGCCACTCGAATTCCCATAAACTGCCATGAACGAATGTGCCCCATGCACGAATGTGCCCCACTCTCCCCTACTCTTTGCTCCAAAGCGACTCTGTCTGCCCCCACTCTCAGCTGACGGTCTAGCTCCTCTTCCCGCGCAGGTTCACGATGCACGTGCATCACGTGTTGTGTTGTGGGAGGCACCAGTCCGGTCACCTGCCCCGAGAGGGCCCAGCCAAAGTCCGTCTTTATCGCGACCGGCTGACCCTTTTTCGCGATACGAATATCTCTCTGAATGATCGCTGCGGAGAGGTTAGCGTCGAGCAGTATCTTCACTTGGTTCGGGTGAGCGTCTCGAATATCCAGCCCTTGGATATGCTCCCACTTGCTTCTCTCCGAGCAGCTTATCTTGGGCGATGGCACGCTGAGTGTCGGTACCGACCAGACTTCGTCCACGGTCACCGAGCTGATGGTCGCATCACGCGACAGAGGACACAGGTCTAATGATACTTTCATCGCCGTTCTTGTCCGTCCACTCCCTTCGACATCATCCAGACACAGTGACTGTGCTTCTCCATCGATTTTCAGATATTTCAAAATGTCTTCACTACAGAGCGATATTTGAGCCCCTGAGTCCAGTAGGGCGAATGTGTCGACGAATTTTCCTCCTGAACCCATCACACGAACGGGTACAACCTGCAGTAGCGTTCTCGTTGTACTTGGTGCTGAGCTTGGAGCGGCGGCGGCAACCGTACGGCGAGATGCACGGTCTCCACAGTCAGGAGGGCGTGCTAGCACCCGTCCGCTACCGTGTAGCGTACTGTGGTGCCTCCCAGTGCAGCCCTCTTCACCGCACTGAAGCTCAGACTCGCAGAGTCTCGATTGATGCCCCAGCTCGAGGCACGAGAAGCAGCGACCTGACTGAGCGACAAATCTTGCTCGCTCATTCTTTGTCTTCTCCATATAAGATGGGCAGTCAGGAAGGTTGACGTGACGCTGGTCACAGGCGCACGTCTCTGCATTCCTCGGTCGGCCAGACGAAACAGGACGATTTGATGCCCCAGTACCTCTCAGCCCAGTGGCAGCCATGACGCTGGCTTGGTTGGCCGTAGCAGGGCTGCTAGTGTTCGACCGGCTCTGCCGGCGGGACGAGCCTTCTGTCCGCTCTCTTGGATGCGATCCATTTCGTGGCCCGCAGTGGATAGGCTGGTCAGACGAGTTCAGGCCGATTCGTACTTGTTTTTCCAGCCAGTCACTGAAGCTGACCAGTGACGGATGAACCGGCTCCATTTCTAGGACTTCCTTGCCCCACTCGCGTCGTAATTCACTCGGGAGCTTAGCGACGGCACGACGAAGATTCTCGCTGCTCTGCAGGTCACCAGTGAAGCCCATGTTCAGCAGAACCTTCACAGCGCAGTGCACCGCCGCCTGGTACCTCTCTAGACCGGCGACATCCATGTGCCGTACCGGCGGAGCGCTGAATATTGTCGCGAGATTGGCCTGCACGATATCTTTCTCGCGTCCGAATCTTCTCGTTAGTGTTTCGAGGGCGACCTGATAATACGCTCCATCAAACAGCATGCCTTGAATTAGCTGTCGCGCGAGTCCGGTCACCGATGATTGGAGGTGGGCCATCTTCTCTGCGTCTGACAGGTAATCTTGTTCATGGACGAGCGTTTTGAATAAGCCAATCCAGCGTGGCCACTCGCTTGAGCTGCCGTTGAACCGTGGAAGGTGAATCTGTGGCACGCTTCTGTGGCCGGCAGGTCTCGGAGAGGAATGGCGTCGTCTCTCCGTCTCGGTTCTCGTCCGCTGCCTGTCGACCCCTCCCGTAGGAGGATTCTGCTCAGCTCGATCTTCCCTCAGAGGAGCGGTGGTAGCATCTGCAGGTACTGGTTCAGACTGAATCCTCTCTGGATGCGTCGCGTGAGTGTCTCCAACCTCGGCCGCGTTATCCTCGCTGGGTTCGCAGCTGTCGTTCGCTTCATCCAATCGCTCCCACGTCAGGTCACTCTCAGCAGCCTGTCGTAGCTTGGCCTCCAATTCCGATAATTTTGCCGCGTCTTCTGCCTTTTTTAGTTTTTTCTTTCTCTCCAATATCCTTCGCTCCTTTTCGATTTTCTCCTCTTCCTCTTCCAAGGCAAGCTGCTTTTGAAGCTGCTTGAGAGCGGCTCTTTTCACCCGTGCAGCCACCTCAGCCTGGCGGCAGGCTTGTTTGGAAGTGGCAGAGGCGTCAGTTAAAGCCGACGATCGAGACACGGTTGAGCCCGTTACCGAAACGTCGTCTTCGACTCTGGTCACGAGGTGCTCCTTTATCTTTCTTTTGATATCTTGCTGAGTTTGTCTTATGTCAGCCAGATAAGCCGCAGCTGCTCGTTTCTGGCCGTCATCCGTGAGTGCACCAAGAAGTTCTTCGTTCACTTCGTCAATCTCTCCCACCAGGTCGTCGATTTGCAGCAAAACTCTCTCGATGTCACTTCTGGAAGCGTTAACCAAGATGAGTGACTCCACCTTGTTGCAGGCTCTGGTAAACTGTGACTTCTTGGAACTCCTTTTCTTCTTTACTTCTTCTGGGACTGTATCCATTTTACGTTAGATATATGAACTCTAAGGGTTAATCAGCTCATACGTTACTGTAAATTAATACATATATGAATGCATTGAGTTGACTTGATAACGAGAACGAACGATCCGGCCCGGAGGACCAAAATGTTACGGCGAACGACGACGAACCGGAGGACCAAACGTTAGACGAAACGGTTAACGACTGATAGGTATTTATATTATGCGGGAAATTATTGAGATAGATGACTAAAGGAACTGACGCATGAAGCGAGCAGGAAACGACGAGACGAGAATGAATGTGAATGAGTGACAGATGAATGATATAAAACGAGCAAGGCGAGTCGATCACTTAATTCAAGTACGAAATACGAAAAACACGTAACGAATATTTTCGAAGCACACAAGTTCACAAACTCGTTTTCCAAAAATACAAAAAAATACATCAAAGTTCATAATCTCGTGATAATGTCACACGCGCGACGTAACAAGGTGATCCGCTGCGTGGCGGCAACAGGTCCTATCATAACCGAAATGGGCATTTGTTTTGATCTGAAAATGCTTTTCCGGTTTTCAGAGACGATTTTCGATTTTTGGCCCCGAAATTCGGTTTTTGGCCCACCGTGTCCGGTGTAATTGAGTAATCGACTCGTGGTAACTTTCATCGCCTTTCCTATGCCACAAGCTTTCGAATGATATCCGGTTTCGCATATTTGCATGTAAAAATAACGTCATAAATCTATGTTAAAGTAAGAAAATGTTGAAATTTGGTAAAAATTTGACTTTTTTTAATTTCATTTCAAAATAGAGAAAAAACTAAAGACCCTATCTAAATTCTGAGCCCAGTTCCTTGAATAGCGCTCAATTTCCGTTCGGAAGGTACTTTTTTTAGTGCATTTTATGGGATTCCTGTGGCGTCCAGATTGAGTTAACCTAAACACATATCCTAGGTCATATCACATAGCATTAACCTGATAACGTATGTTAACGCCATAGGGTCAACGAGGGGTCAACTGAGGTCATGTTGTTGACCCCTTGTGACCTCGGGTCACACGCAGGAACTTACTTTTGAGCAGTCCTGTCGCTCAGAATCTTGATCTGTACCTCCATTTGTTACAATGGTTCTTCATGCACTGAACACATATTGTCATGGTTATGGCTGGGGGCCCATTTTTCCAGTGACTCAATCTGGACGCCACAGTAAACCGATAAAATGCACTAAAATAGTACCTTCCGAACGGAAATTGAATGCCCTTCAAGGAACTGGGCTCAGAATTTGGATAGGGTCTTTAGTTTTTTTTTCTCTATTTTGAAATAAAATCAAAAAATGTCAAATTTTTTACAAAATTTCAACATTTTCTTACTTTAACATAGATTTTTGACGTTATTTTTACACGCAAATATGCAAAACCGGATATCATTCGAAAGTTGTTCAGTATTGTAAGACATGTTTATAAAGTCTGATGGCCAAGAGTTGCGAACGAAAATTATAATTAAAATCTAAATCTTTTTTTTGTATTTCAGACGTTTCGACAACACTGTGTCATCGTCAGTAATTGATATAAAATATTTCTTGAAGTCACAAATCACATTTTAAAAATAACATCAGCATTAAGATTTTTTTTCTTAATGCTGATGTTATTTTTAAAATGTGATTTGTGACTTCAGGAAATATTTTATATCAATTACTGACGATGACACAGTGTTGTCGAAACGTCTGAAATACAAAAAGATTTAGATTTTAATTATAATTTTCGTTCGCAACTCTTGGCCATCAGACTTTATAAATCATTCGAAAGCTTGTGGCATAGGAAAGGCGATGAAGGTTACCACGAGTCGATTACTCAATTACACCGGACACGGTGGGCCAAAAACCGAATTTCGGGGCCAAAAATCGAAAATCGTCTCTGAAAACCGGAAAAGCATTTTCAGATCAAAACAAATGCCCATTTCGGTTATAATGACACCTGTTGTGTAACGGCCGAGGCTGTTGTGTGACGGCCGAGGCCCGAGACTGGGTGACCTTGACCGGCGGGCGGTCAAGGCCGTGTCTGGCGCGGCGGTGCGGCGCCGGGGCGGAGGGCAGTTGTCAGTTGAGAATACAGAGCCGACCGAGAAGGGCGTGTCTGGAGCAGCTGCCTAGCGGAAGGTGGAGCTGGAGCAGGAGGGGAGTGCGAGGGAGAGGACACAACATTGGCGACGAGGATCTGTCTACTGCAGGCATTGGTAAGCGGCCTCACAGCGCTATGGAAACCGGCGTTATTCCACCGATTGCTCCCTTTGACTGTTCGGACCCCGGGAAGTGGGAACAGTGGAAGATAAGTTTTGATTATTATCTCGTGGCATCAAATGTTACCGACGAGGCTCGGAAGGTTGCGTTGTTCTTGCACATGGGTGGGTCTGAGTTGCAAGAGTTGTTTCATGCCGTGTCTGACCCCGCCGTCAAGATAGAGGCGTTGAAGCAGGCCATTGACGTGCTTGACGGTCAGTTGTTACCACGTAAGAACGTGATTTATGAACGGCATATTTTTCGCAGAGAGGCCCAACGCCAGGATGAAGGAGTTGATGCATTTGTGGCCCGCCTCCGTAAGTTGTCACGGACTTGTGAGTATGGCCCGCTACAGGAGGATATGATACGGGATCAGCTGGTAGATAAATGTTCGAGCCACAAGCTCCGTTGTGCCTTACTGCGTGAGCCCAGTCTCACCCTTGCTACTGCTGTTTCCATTGCCAGGACGATGGAGGAGGTTGACAAGCAGGCGGAGGTGATGGAGAGTGGCGGAGGCCAGGAGAGCGGCTTCGCAGAGGCTCATGCCGTCCGTCACAGAGGTCAGCAGCGGCTCGCCACCGGGAGTCGCAAGGCAGACGAGCCTTCCGAAGGTGAGAAGCAGAAATGTTTTCGGTGTGGCCGGAAGAATCACGACTCTGAAGATTGCTTCTTTCAGGGCAGAAAATGTTTCAATTGTGGGAAGCTAGGACACATGGCAAAGATGTGCCGAAAACCGCGGCTTGATGCTAAACGCTCACAGGCTAATGTGGTGTCTGAACATGAGGATCATGTGTTCGGAGTCACGTCTAATTCTACGGCTGCCCGGTTCCCAGTGCAGGTTGGTGACGCTGTCTGTCACGTGTTGATCGACTCGGGAGCCACCTGCAACGTGATGGGGGAGGATACGTTCATAGCGAATTTCACAGGCGTTGAACTCGAGCCCAGTGGCATTAACTTATACTCTTATGCCTCTCGAAAGCCAATGCATGTGCTTGGCAGGTTCCAGGCCCAGGTTTCTCATGGTGACGAGAGCACGTCTGCAGTATTCTACGTCGTTCCAGGGCGCAATGCATTTCTTCTGGGGAAGGAGACGTCGGAGAAACTGGATCTACTCCGCGTCGGTCCACAGGTGAGAGTGGTGACATCTGACAAAAAGTTTGTTGGACAGCATGAGGAATTGTTCGCAGGCCTCGGAAAGCTGAAGGGTTTTCAGCTACAACTGGCAATCAACCAAGAAGTGAAGCCGGTTGCTCAGCGACTGCGGCGGATCCCGTTCTCTGTCCAGCCAGCGGTGGAGGCCAAGCTGGATGAACTTCTTCAGCACGACATCATCGAAAAGGTGACTGGGCCAACCCCTTGGGTGTCTCCCATTGTTGTCATTCCGAAGAAGGACGGCCAGATCAGACTATGTGTTGACATGCGTCAAGCAAATAGTGCTATTGTCCGTGAGCGACATCCCATGCCTACCATTGACGACCTGCTTCACGAGATGAATGGTGCAGTCATGTTCTCAAAACTGGATCTCTCACAGTCATTCCATCAAATAGAGCTGGACCAGAGTTCTCGAGAAATCACCACGTTTGTCACCCACAAGGGTCTCTTCCGATATAAAAAACTATTTTTTGGTATATCTTGTGCCCCAGAAATCCACCAGCGCATCATACAGCAGGTCATCAGCGGATGCGAAGGTGCCAAGAACATCGCTGACGACATCATAGTCTTCGGCACCAGCATGGAGGAGCATGCCCAGCGGCTGGAGCATGCTCCTTATATTTAAACGGACTATGTGACAAAACCACAAACAAAATGCTTTTTTATGCCGATGACTGCTCTTTATACTCGTCTTACTCTCCAACTGACAACTTTCACGACGCACAAATGACACTAAATTGTCCCCGTTTCCAAGTGCTACGCTCTGAACTTTTCGGACAAGTTTCAATAATTATACCCATATTTAACAACTGTAACAGCGTATCTAAACTTAACTTATTGCTGTATGGTAGAGGCCTCAACAAAAACGATCAGATCAAAGTAGCGAAATTATTCCAAAATTATATTATCAAAACTAAAAGATTCCAGAACCAATAGCATCCAGCGGCGGACGGCGGGCCGGACGGTTCGTCGTGTCGCCTGGGGGTAGCAACTTTAATTTCAACCAGCGAGCGGTGGGTGTGGCGCGGCTTGGCGGTGGTCAAACAGACTTGTTTTCATATTATGTTGTGTGTTTTATGTAATACTCATGTTTATTTTATACTGATTGATTAAGAGAGGTGCTTTAATTTAAGAATTTTTATTCTTTTGCACCAATCTTATAATATTTTTGTGTATGTTTTGCTCATTTGTAATGTTGAAAATAAATGTGTATGTAGGTATGTATGTATGTACTACAGAAAGACCTAGACATCATACACAACTACGGACAAACATGGGCTATAACATTTAATGCAACGAAAACCACACAACAAACTTTCTCACATCGACAACAAACTAATCGACCAACCCTTACTTTCGGCGGTAACCCCATTCCAATAGTAAATGACCATAAACATCTCGGCCTCACACTATCCGCAGATCTACGCTTTCACACACACATTAATGACGTCCTTCTAAAATTTAATCGTTCTATGGGCCCTTTATACCCAATAGCAAAACACATACCTAAAGGAATGCTTCTATCTCTCTATATTACTTACGTTCAACCTTCCCTCGACTATTGTGACATCACTTACGACGGACACATCACAACGACTGACGGCATGCGACTAGAAAAAGCACAAAACAGAGCAGCACGACTGATCACTGGGACTGGACTTCGGACATCGACTAACGGACTGCGACGAGAACTAGGATGGACTTCTTTGACCGACAGACGGAAAATCCACAAACTTCAGTTTTATCACAAATTAATATTCAATCCTATAGTTCCCGAATTTATTAAGACCATTATTCCTAACACAAGACAGCAAAACACAACACGAACTTTACGAAATATTTCAGCTCAAACAATACCATTGGCCAGAACCACATCCGATTACCGATCCTTCGTCCCATCCTCTACAAGCCTCTGGAACACATTGCCCGAACATCTACGCACAAACAATAACTACTTTACTTTTAAAAAACACCTAAAAGAACTGATTACACAACCCCGTCCACCTCTGTATTATTTCCTACAGGGTGTTTCACTAAAAGTGTCAAAAAGTAAATGCTTATTAAGGATATATAAAATACGCAAAGCACGTGGTTGCGCACGTGGCTTTGTTGCAAATTTTTGGACATTTATGCTTTGGCCACTTACGATATATTTTACACTCATACGGAGCGAGGGCAGGAGGCCAAAGTTACTAGTCGTTTTTTCCTTATACAGAACAAGAACAGGTTATTTGCACCGCAACAGGAGCGGTGGATTACACTTACATTTGGTGCTATCAGAAACATTGAAACCGTACGCCGACTTTTCAGGAAACGTTTCACTCTCTCACCTCGCTACGACCCAGATTATAAAAGTTTCAAAGGGCTTCTTGAGAGGTTTAAAAGGGTTCCTTTGATGCCGGTTCCAGTCCAAAAAAAGGCGGGTCGCCCCACCTCTCGGCGGAAATCGTTGAAAAGGTCAGGGTCTTTTTTAGGACCTTTTAAGATAACAAGAAGCTTATTTCAACATCAGAAATAGCCAAGCCCCCAATTTATCAGAAACAACCACTGTAACGGCTGTAGCCACCAAGAACTGGCTGGACCAGAAGTTCCGTTCCCGGGCCGAATAATCAGCTGCCTCACCGCCCGCCCCTTGCCAGATCGAGGCCCCGATCTGTCACCGCTAGCCTTCTGGTTTTGGTCAGTAGCTCTCGCAGAGCTGAGGAAGACTAAAGTCGCATCACTTTTGGAGCTGAAGAGCACAATGCAAGGCTTTGCCGACAGTCTGGACGCTGAAGATGAAAACGGGCTGTGAGGCACCTCCGGACACGTGCCGAAACGGTGCATCAAAAGAAGCGGCGGATATGTGGAATAGGTTTGAGTGACGGTGATATCATTTTTATATATTCAAATGTCCAACAATTGCGGATGGAATGATGTGCAAATGTCCATAGAAAACATAGGTATTATGTGCATTAGGGCCTTTTACTTTTTGACACTTTTAGTGAAACACCCTGTAGGCACAAAAAGAGGCAACATTTTACACACAAAACTACGACTGAATACTTCAAGACTTAATGCTCATCTTTTCTCCATACAACAAGCTAATTCACCCCTTGCACTTGCGGCTATAATTCTGAAAACAAAACATTTCCTACTTTCCTGTCCACTTTATCATACTCAGCGAAACATTCTTTACAACACCGTGTCGCCCGTCATCCGCACTGACTTTTCCACTCTCCCTTCCTCCAAACAACTCGACATCCTTATCCAAGGTACAGACCTGAGTCGTGAGGAGGGCCGTGTGGTTGCCACCGCTGTCCAATCCTTCATCATCCATACCCATCGCTTATAATACAACATCCCAGTTCCAATCCTCACCACTACCGTGGTCGGACGAGTGGGCGCGGTGCAGAGCAGCCTTGCAGTGCCGCCGGGTTCGTGGAGCGTTACCGGGCTTGGGCGGTCCGGTCGATCGACGATCACTTTGACATGTTTCGCAACATAAATATTTTTATTCCGTTCTTCTTGTTCCATTGTGTTTCATCATTATTGTTGTTGCTAAATACGTTAAGTACTTCTCGTTTAGCAAGCGGCGCCATGATTTAAGTGCGTAGCACTTTTGCGCCAATTGCCTACTTTATTTGTTATATTCATCTCTCTCTGTCTCCGTCTCCGTCTCCGTCTCCGTCTCCGTCTCCGTCTCCGTCTCCGTCTCCGTCTCTGTCTCTGTCTCTGTCTCTGCAAAAATATTTCTTGTATTGTTACAACTGTATCCGCCCTCGAACGATAAATATTGTTGACTCAGCAGAAACACATCCCGTGGAATGCGTTTGGACTTGGCTGGATCTAATGTTAGCGAATATCTGCTAATGCAGCTTCTTGGCTTGCACAGTATGCACACAAACATACATGCTTCCTGCCCTTGGATTATTCCTCACTTGAATGAAAATTTTGCTATAATAACTATTCCGAGCAGTTGACAGGTTTTAGTGCAATGCAAAGTCGGAACCGTCCCGCGCCGGCGGTCTCCCAGGCGGCGCGTAATGGCCGCCGCTCTCGCAGGGTGTTTGACCTCATACCCCTGTTGTTAGAAAGATTGTGGATCGATTTACTTGATTCTTGCATGACAAGATCAGCCATCCAATTCTTAGCAGGTACCGAAAATTTGACGTCAATCGCACGATCCGCCGCCCATATTGCGGTACTGCCATCTATTGACAAGGCTGGAGAATTAAAGCCGTTCGGCTATTTCCACTTCTGACACACCATATAATGAAAAGCGTCAGGGTCTGTTGTTCTGCCCCACAACCATGCTTCAGGAGTTGGCATTAGATGTCTACACTGCTAGTGCTTCTATTCTGGTTCGTTGTTTATGTTTTCTGTCGATGTAGGTACCTACTAGAGATGTCAATCGGATACCAACTTTTTGGTATACCGATACCAAACCGATACCAACTCGGTATTTGGTATTTCTATCCTAATGTGTTTGTTTTTTTGTTGGTATCATGAACCTTCGCTAATGTTTAAGAGGCTAAGAAATCGGTAAAATGCTGGTATTTTCCTCATGTTCCCAAGTTGGTTTGGTTTCGGTATTTCTCCACGGTTTTGGTTGGTATTTGGTTTGGTATCGGTATTCCGATTTTCCGTAATTGACATCACTAGTACCTACCTACCCATCTTTCTTAACCCCTTGCAAGGGCTTGTGTAGGCATGCGTTGCGCATCAGGCTTCAGGCCAGATACACAACCACTTAACCTATGATGCTTCATGAGCTTGAGAATCAATAGTCCATTGCAATGTGCTTTTGGCTACATGTTTTAACTAAAAACAACTTATTAATACTATTTGGTTGCATTTCATTGAAAGTATCCACGGCCGGCTGACGGCTGGCTGCCCACAGTTAACCACGGCTGTGGGCGGCTGTGGCTGTGGAGCTACGGCTGTGGGGCGGCTAGGCTGTGTAAAATTGCAGCCGTGCAGAACTCTAGTGGTCTGAAAATGCGCCCTTTGCAGGTGTGTCGGAAAACTCTTATCGATAATTTTTTGGGTGTGATACAAATTGGGAGTTGTTGTTCGATGCCAAAATAACTGAGGTACAATTTGAGATATCATCAAGCATGACAGCTGATCAACTTAATTCGCGCCCTGCGGGGGAGGGGGATGTGAACACGCCCCTCCCTGTGGTTTTTCGCGAATATCTAAAAAAAAACATCATACATCAATGCTACATATGTGGTGAACATTTCAGACCAAGGTCACTCAAGGCATAGGTGTAGGAACAGGGGGGACAGGGGGGGGGGTGGCCCCCCACTTTTCATAGTGGGGGGGCAGTAATGTTTACTGCCCCCCCCCAATTTTTGCCGAACTTTTTAATGTATTTGTAGGTATCGTTATCATCGTTACTGAGTGCAATTTTTCTCCACCCAATGAAAGGTAACTTTGTCAGAAGCAATAAGTGGCAGCTTAGGGGCAGCGCGCGCTGCAAAGAGAGACAATACTGGCGCAGCAGAAGGCGTAAACGGCGTAAACTAACAATTTATGTTAGGCGGCCTTGCATTAGTTGATCGGTTACTGGCATAGGCGTAGGAACAGGGGGCAGGGGGCAATGGTCCCCCACTTTCGAATGGGGGCCAGCAATGTTAAATGCCCCCCCCCCCCACACACACCTTTTGCTGACTTAACACTTGTCATGTTTCACGCTCGCTCGTAATAAAAAATGTTTTTGGATGCTTCTGGAATTCGCATGGGTGCCAACCAGTGGCGGATCCAAGGTGGGGTCACATGGGTTATGCCCGCTTGGGGCCCGGGGGCACCATAGGCCTACCAGGGGCACCACCAACCTATCAGGGGCACCACCGGCCTGTCAGGAGCACCGTCGGCCTAGCAAGAGCACCACTGGTCTGCAAGGGGCAACACAGACCTGTCAGGGGCACCACAGGTCTTCCAGGGACACCAAAGGCCTTCCAGGGGCACCACCGGCCTCGCAGGGGCACCTTGGGCCTGTCAAGGGCACCACGGACCTGACAGGGGCACCTCAGGCTTGTCAGGGCCCAGGGGCACCACAGTCCTTTCAGGAGCACCACAGGCCTGTCGGGGCACCAGAAGCCTAGCAGGGGCACCACAGGTCTGCCAGGGACACCACAGACCTGCCAGGGGCACCCACTGGCCTCGCAGGGGCACCTTGGGACTGTCAGGGGCATCACGTGCCTGTCGGGGACACTTCAGGCTTGTCAGGAGCACCACAGTCCTGTCAGGGCCCAGGGGCACCAGCGGCCTAGCAGGGGCACCACGGCCTCGCAGGGGCACCACCGGCCTCGCAGGGGCATCACCGGCCTCGCAGAGGCACCATGGGCCTGTCGCTGGCACTTCAGACTCGTAAGGAGCACCACAGTCCTTCCAGGGGCACCACAAACCGAAGCTGCAAGCTCATGATGATGAAGGAACAATTGGTACCTACAATTAGTATTCTGTACCAGAGTGCAAACTCCCCTACTTATGATGGCAAGTGATAAAATCATTACATGTTTTCAAAGGCTTTCAATGTTGCTGGGAATACTTTGCATGATTTTTACAGGCTAGACTGCTTATCAGAATGTAAGTTTAAGCATTTAAAATCTTATATTTCAGTATTTCATATTGAGCTTAAAATCTCACAGCCGTGGCCACAGCCGTAGCCGTGTTCTTGGAGATATTTGCAGCCGACCCGCCCTACAGCCGTGGGGCTGCAGCCGGCCGGTGCAGACCTCTAATGTCGATTGTTCGATTGAATGATTGATTCATTCATTCATTTAATACGTGTCGGCATTTAGCACAGGTACCTACGAATTGACATCCAGCATCAATCTACCATTTTCAGAAACGTATTGCCTAAATATCATGCATAGGCACAAGACCTATGGTTGCCTCGATACCGTGCCGGCCCGAATCACGTTTTGCACAATGCGCACAAGAAAAGAGAATTATATTCGCTGGGTCTTCCGTGCATTGAGCTTAGCAAAAAACAGGAATGCAACCGTCAAGCGACGCAAAATGTACAATGCAGCAAGTGACCACACTCACTCGACCAGCCTCCATGGTCCACCAACACGCCCCACACCACTCGCCAACCCACGCCAACCACTGAGACGAGCCCCTCCCCCCGCGCTGGTCTGACGCAACAGCTGGTCTACAAAGCGCTCCACCCGGCGACCCGAGCCGATGTCAAACGGCGTGGGTAGACTGTGCCGCATAATTTTCGGGTCATACGGCACAGCCTACCGGTACCAGACGGCTGCTGCCAATGCTGAGCCATAGGAACCCGGCACGGTGGATAAAGAGTAGTGGACCATCAGGCATCAACCTGTACCCGACTGTACACACGATTTCAATGTCTTACTCAACTCATATCGTCATAAATTTCGACCTACCCTCAAAAGTATTCATGCGCTATTCGAGCGGCAATTAGGCAAATTGCAAGCTCGCCACAGAGCACAGATCCTGTAAAAGATAGTTCTTATTTAAAACACATGCTCCTTAGATATTCAAGAAGGTTGCTCCTAAATATTGTAGTTCTGGCTTCAAAAACATGGATTTTATGAATGCCGATAGGTTTCGGGAGGCTACACAGGCCGGATCGCCCACTGTGCATCGACCCGAAATGTCCAAGGCACGCCCGCAGCTCACCGCTCATCTGTGCTCATCCGACCCGGGCGAGGCCGGCAGACAGACTGACAGGCGCGTCCGCCGCTCGACCGCCGAGACGGCGCAGCGTGGACACGGGTGGCCAGCGCTCCAGTAAAAATGCACCCGTCACCGGCTGAGTGACAGCCGCCCTATAGACCACACGGAGGCGGCCGTTCCGCCTTACTGAAGCAGCCATTGGCGGCATCTGGACGGCAGGCGCGACACGCACCAATAGCTCTGCCCTGCGGGATGCCGCGGCCCGGGCGCGCCGAACGAGAGAGAGAGAGAGAGAGAGAGAGAGAGAGAGAGAGAGAGAGAGAGAGAGAGAGAGAGAGAGAGAGAGAGAGAGAGAGAGAGAGAGAGAGACCGCGTCCCGGTCGCCTTGTCGCCATTTCGTTCCACTTGGCCGACGCTGACCGCCACAAAACGCTGCAACTGCAGACGCCGCACCGAGACAGGTGCATCGAACCAGATACCCAGAGATAGACTAGATAAGACGGGTCAGCCGACACCCGGGCCCTATGTAGGTACAGCTCTTGCGGGTTTCAACCATAGGCTGTTTGAAGATTTGAGAAACACTATTTTTATTTATTTATTTATTTATTTATTAAACACATCGCCAACAGGAACTCCCAATTACAGGCAAAGTCATCAAGTTAACCCGCGCCCTGCTGGGGGGGGGGGTGTTTGAACACCCCCTTGT